ATCTAATATTGGGGATACTGAAATACAACAGGTGCAACACTAATATTTCATTTAAATTTTGGGGGGATTAGTTTTCTTCGTAAATATACGTTATTATATATGTTTGTGTTGTGTAGGGATATAGTGTCGTTGCCGACACTGGAGTTTGAACACAGTTCACCTGTGAGCAAACACTGTTGATTCCATTTCTAATAAGCAGACCCCATGATCATAAAGGAAAGGTATATGTGGGAATTAACGTGGCGTCTAAGTGATCGCGATTCACTATACTACTTCTCTATACTATTTCTCTATACTGATATTTCTTCGGATTACTATTCGGCGCTTACTATTCAAAGAAATATTACAAATGCAAGTATTAGTCGAAAGAATTACTACTAGTATCTGCGATTCCAAAGTCTCGACCCGCCTTCTACCATTGCCCCCAGGTCCGCCCCTTATGGGACCATGTCGGCGAGCTGACGGCTCGTCTCGCTCGCGAACAGCTTGTGTCCATTGATCGCGCATACGCGTGTGACAATGTGTCGCCCTCGTATTCCGGGATGAAACGGATGGTGTTTCTGAAGCTGATGGCCACGGCTCGAATGGTGATTTGGACGACGCGAAAGAAGGAAGTCTTGCGAGGCAATCGTCTTTCTCATTCGGATCTAATTCGATTCTTTGAGCATCAGCTCAAGATGAAGATTAGATCGGATAGAAAACGATTGCATTCGACAGTCTTTAGCGAAAGGTGGGTAAAAGAAGCGAGCTTGCTTTGTGTGAACAGGGGCTAGCCTTGATTTTTTTCTCTTCTAGGTCAACCTATTGCACATCGGGGTGGCTTCCTGTGGAACCCTCCCGTGGTTAGAGTTAGACAAGCTTCAGTGTACCTAGTTAATGTGAGTAAGTGTTGTTCCTGGCTTGCATCCCAGCCGTTCTTTGGTTATGATCCAAGTCGAGATTCCCAACCTCCCCAGTTTGTTTTGACCCCCCCTTTTTTTCATCTCGACTGGGTCAGTTTTTTTTTCCCATTCCAGCCTAATATTTTTATACTTTTTCCCACTCCCTTAGCGAGAGCGTCTCTTGATTTTGTCCCCTGGGCAGAATACAGCGGTCTCTCTGTTTTATGGGTTGGACGGTCCCTACTAACATCAATTGTTTAGTTTGTATTTGTGTTTATTTTAAGTTTATTATTGGGTTCATTTCCCTCCTCTCTCATTTTATCATTATTAGAATTGTATATATATATCATCATTAAAATTTTTATGGCATGGGGCGCGATTTTGGTAGTTCTCCCTTGAGAGCACGTGGTATTATGGTGATTGAAGGATTGTTTGGTGATGGACGAGTTCTTTTGGTGAATGGGTAAAATGTAATGTACGAATGGGTCGCGAATCTGATTAGCTAGGTATAAGATAGTTAGTGTTGACCAGCCTCTACCCCTCCCCTTTATTGGCCTCGTGCCACAATTTTTACTTTTTGTACGAATAAATATCAGTCTCGGCTACAAAGAGGATTACGAACGTGATAACGAGCATTAGTTGACATCACAAAAGTGACAACGAAGTAAGCGTTTGACATCACAAAAGTGACAATGCGAAGGCGACTGACATCACGAAAGATTGAAAGCCGATAAAAAATACATATATATATGACAAATTACGAGACCGGCACTTCATACGATATAATTTTAATCGATGACATTACTAATGAATATGAACATTTGAAGAAAACATTTTCTCGTGATAGCAGAGTTGAAAATAGATTTGTTTCAGAAGAATCTAACAGATTCGAAGGTAATACAATATGTCGTAATGTCTAATAGAAATTAAAAATAATATTTAATAAAAATGAATCAATGGTACACGAAACAAAATGAATTGTTAGCAAATGGGGTATCCTAATATGCAAATTTCAGATTGGAAATACTGAAATTAAACAAAAAACAAATTAAATAATTAGGAACGGTGTTAACAGATGACGTAAAATGCACCACTAAAATCCGAAAGTGCATTGGGATAGCGAAAGATACCTTCTAAAAGCTAAGCAAAGTATTAACAAACAGACAAATTTCGTTAGAGACAAAGAAAAAACATTGAACTGTTGCATAATAGTAGTATTCCTCTATTGAGTGAATGTTCGATAATCTTACAGATGAAGAAGACATTTCAAGCAACAGAAATGCGGTTCTGCAGAAGGATACTGAGAATACCATGGACCGAACGTTTAAGCAACAAAGAAGATCAAGAGACAATGGCAACAGAAAAGGCCATAAGTGTCCTTTTTGTTTCCATTTTCTCTAACATCAGGATGAAATTTTGGAAATTTATAGGGTACTTAATTAGGAAATGAAGCTTGGAAATGTTGATACCGTCAGGACAGATTAAAGATAAAAGTGACTGAGGAAAGAAAACAATGTAAACCTTGCATGGCCGGCCTGAGCAAATGAATCAAGGAACAGCAAGGTTTAGGAGAGATAACAAAAATCAGACATTTATTAAGAGCTACAAAAGAGAGACAATTATGGCGAGCCCTGATCGCCTACATTCTGAAGAGACACATCACCATGAAGGAGGACAAGGAGGAGGGATAGAAGAAGAACAGGAGGAGGAGGAAGGGAAGAAGAAGAATGAGGGGGAGGAAAGGAGGAGGAAGAGAAGAAGAAGAAAAGAAGAAGAAGGAGGAGGAGGAGGAAAAGGAGAAGGCGGAGAAGAAAAAAAAAGAAAGGATGACGGCAATATTCACCGAGTGCCATACGCTTCGTGCCAAATTATTATGGAGTTAACTTTTTTCTAATATTTCAAAAACCATCCAATCAATTCACACAAAATTTTTACACAATGTTATTGTTCTATCTTTGCGCAATCACTAAAATTTTCGTATTGATCTGCGTAAATTTCAGTGATTGGTCAGGTGAAAAAATTTGAAACTGAAGAAAAAAAAAAAGATATATATATGTATATATGTATATATATATGTATATATATATATATATATATATATATGTATGAATATATATATATATATATATATATATATATATATATAATTTACATAAAAACAGACCACTTTAAGGTTCCATGTAATAAATTATTTCACCACAAATTTTGATATCTAGGTAGGTGTTAATACATAAGTTACCTGTGTATATCGACACATTTTTACCTGTATGAGTGATTGGACATGTAAAAGGAACGTGTGTATATGTATTTTGCATGGTGTGTATACAGTATATGAAAGAGAATGATCTTTAATTTTACCTTCAAATATTACCTCATATTAATTTAACTAAAATTTAAGCTTGAGATTACCTAACTAGAATTTTCACGAGTTAAATTCCTGAACAAAATTCAAACGGACAGAGATGTTTTTTTAGTAATCAATAATTATTTTTTTAAAGAGAAAAATTGATGACTAGAAGTAAACATATATTTTAAAATAAAATTTTATTCTTTTAATGTACTTTCTATGAATATTTTTCTAATCGACTATTTCATAGAAAATCCCCAAAATTTTAATAAAATTTAAATCACGAACAAACATAAATTAAATTATGTGTAGACAGTTTAGAGAAATTCAAATGTATATCAAACATTATAATCTTTATGAAGCCCCAAAATAACACTTTCAAAGTAAAACAAAATAACAGCGTCTGTTTCTAGCCTTTTTATACAAAGAAAATTAGTGACATCTTCTCTCATAACTTCCTTCTCTCTTTTTCTCTGTATGGGATTTTTTCTTCTCTACCCCTTCGATATCAATATATCAGTTCAGTTAACCGTTTAAATGTGTTAATATCTGCTAACACACTTATGTCTTCTCACTGCCTCCTCATTTCTCCACTTCGTTAATTTATATATGTTTAATACGGCCCGTCAAAAATGTGTAAATTTTCTTTTCATTTTTTGTTTGGAAGTAAAGTCTGATAATCCGCTGTCCATTAAAAGGGCTGTGGTGAAATAATTTATTACATGGAACCTTAAAGTGGTCTATTTTTATTTCAATTATTTGCTCTGGATTTACATTGAGCTCTCTGGATTTTATCCTCCTGAGGTTTACCCATACAGATAACTAGTTTTTCATAAACTATATATATATATATATATATATATATATATATATATATATATATATATATATATATATGTGTGTGTGTGTGTGTGAACAAATTGTGTGCATGTTGAAAAGTGCATATATATATATATATATATATATATATATATATATTAATAGAAATTTGAAAAAGAAAACTATACACGTTCAGAAAACTTTCGGTGTCTTGATTTGCGAATATTCAAACCAATACTAAAGGGAAAAAAGGTATAAAAAGAAAAGAACCAAGAACTTTTTGACTATGTTCATTAGTCGAAAATAATTGTTCTAGCATGCAAGTCGAAAAGCCAAAGAAAAAAAATGATAATAAGCAAAACAATAACTATATATATATATATATATATATATATATATATATATATATATATATATATATATATATTTAAAGAAAGCCTTCCTTGACAATCCACTTAGATGAAACTTTTGGTAGGTTTGTCTGGCTCTCTAGGTTGTCAACTATATATATATATATATATATATATATATATATATATATATATATATATATATATATACATATAAATATAGATAATTAGACTCGTTTCGAAAAACCCTCGAATTTTTGATTTGCTAATCATATATATATATATATATATATATATATATATTATTTTATCATTATTTTTTATATATTATAAATAGTTGCTTATCAGAAAGCGCTCAATATCATATATATATATATATATATATATATATATATATATATATATAGAGAGAGAGAGAGAGAGAGAGAGAGAGGGGTACAGAAAGAAAGACACGCAGACATACAGGGACAAAGACAGACAGCGGGAGGAGGAAGATGGAATTAAGATGACGAAATAATGAGAGACAGTAGGCTTCGAAAAAAAAAAAAAAAAACAGGAAATACATGATGGTACAATTTTGCGTCTTTATGAATTACTATAGTCTCCATGTCGGCACTCCTCACCATAGCAACTTTTAAAGGGCGGAGATATATATATATCTATGAGTTTGTCGACGTAAGATCAGGTGTATCTGTGTTTCTTAAAATAATCAAATATCTATCAATATGTAGTGTCGCCATTTTATATGTGCTTCTGGAGAAACGTTTTCCCAATCGGCTAAGAGTGTTTACGAGTAACCTGACTGCATAATATATCGGTATCTTCGAGAAATCAAATTTCAAAACCTGCTCATTTTTTTTTATGCAATTAGATTGGTTTTAGCTTTTTGTGTTTTTCTCTTCTGATATTCTACTAACCTTTCAGAGGTCAACAGCGCAGATGCCGGAAGGGGTGGCCTTAATATATTATGAGATTAATACCTGCTTACATCAAAGTCTGTAAGTAAAAAGGATAGAAAGTGTTAATTTCGAAATATATTAATATATCTTTGCGTTTCTCTTCAAATATTCTGTTCTGCTCCAGGTGTCATGGTGCTGCGAATATTTTTTTGAAAAGAAATAGGTAATTACCAAATTGAGGTAGATACATAGCTGGATAAGATAATAACAGACTGAAATAGATAGATAGATAGATAGATAGATAGATAGATAGATACGAATAGACCGAGATATATATATATATATATATATATATATATATATATATATATAGAGAGAGAGAGATAGATAGATAGATAGATAGATAGAGAGTGTGTGTGAGAGAGAGAGAGTATAAACGAAATAAATGGATACGAACAGACCGACATAGATAGATAGATAGATAATGGCTGGCCACCTTGCATTCGAGTATACCGTCTACTAGGGCGGCTAGACAATCCCTATTGCAGACGCACGCTCAGGCGCATTTGTGCGGTTTTCTCATCAGATATTCTACTAACCTTTCAGAAGATAACCGCGCAGATGCCAGATGGAGTGACCTTAATATATTATAAGATTAATACCTGCTTACATCAAAGTGAGATAGATAGAACTGACTGAGATAGATAGAGAGATAGATAGATAAAAAAACGAAATAGATACGAAAAGACTGAGATAGATAGATAGATAGATAGATAGATAAAAAAAGGAAATATAAATGAACAAATTGAGATATATAGATAGATAGATAGATAGAGAGAGAGAGAGAGAGAGAGAGAGAGAGAGAAATAGATAGATAGATAGATAGATAGATAGATACGAATAGACCGAGATAGATGGATATATATATATATATATATATATATATATATATATAGATAGATAGATAGATAGATAGATAGAAACAATTAATATACAGATAGATAGATACAAACAGACCGAGATAGATGGATAGATAGATAGAAAAAACGAAATAAAACAGAGATACGAACAAACCGATATAGATAGATAGATAGATAGATAGATAGATAGATAGATAGATAGATAGATAGATATATAATATAATATAATATAATAGTTGGCTACTTGCATTCGAGGATCACAGTCTGCTAGGGCGGCTAGCCAACCCCTATTGTAGACGCCCGCTCAGGGGCATTTGTAATTATTTATCACCTACAGAGCCCAAGCGGGGTTTATACTGCAACTATGCTGAGTTGACATTTGTTTTGTGGTTAGGTAATGTTATCTAGCGTGATCAATAATCTGAACAAGGACAGCACGCTTATACCATCGGTCATGATGACTTGTGACTTCGTGCTAGCACAGCTATCATCGACCCTCAAAGGTATCTTCTACCCAATTTCCCCCACAATACTTCGGTCAACCCGTGGTATGTTTTTCAGAAACTTTCCAAAATTACCGGGCGCTGGGATCGCACCCGCCAAACCAATACCATCAGGAAGTGTCCTTCCTGACAAATCGACCATGGTGAGATTCGAACCCGGGTCTCATGGAAAGCGAACGTTCTCAACACTCGAACACGTGCCCAGATTCTATCCATACATATGTACACACAGACAGCCCGTACTCGATAGACAGATAAATAGATATATAACAGACTGACATTGATAGATAGATAGATAGAGAGAGAGAGAGAGAGAGAGAGAGAGAGAGAAAGAAAGAGATAGAGAGAGGAAGGGAGATAGATCGATTGATAGATAAATATTTGAAATGAAATTTCATATACAAAAAGATAACTGGCTATTTAGCTAGATAATTATAAACAGTCCGATATAGATTAATTGACAGACTGATAGATGGATCGATACACATGAATATACTATGATAGATAGATAGATATGAACAAACTGATATATATATATATATATATATATATATATATATATATATATATATATATATATATTTATTTACATTATTTGGACTATTGTCCTAATCTTTGTCGCCATATTTATTACAACGTTTCGGCCGTTTACGCTCTGTCCTTCTTCAGATGGTTGTAATGTCGAACTCGACCATTTATTTCGCTCACTGGAGTAGACTGTTTTAGTTCACCTGCCATGTTTAATGGATGTCAGTTATCAGTTATCTCTTTCAGAAGGAAAATTAGGGAGATGACTGATAACTGACATCCATTAAACATGACGAATAACGAATATATATATATATATATATATATATATATATATATATGAAGAAATATAGTCTTAAGATGTGCTATATTTATGGGATAACGTGCTCAATATAAGAGATAGAGCGTGTGTAAATATAAAAGTGAACATAGAAGTCAACACTTAGAGGCGACAATCTGCTTCATGCTTGATTGATCTAGCATGAAACAGACTGTCCCCTCTAAATTTTTACTTATATATATATATATATATATATATATATATATATATATGCGTGTGTGTGTATGTGAGAGATAGATTATGTCAAGAAAAAATGGTTAATAGGACTAAATAAAGCAAATATCTCAGAAAGACGTAGCAATTAATTCACTGTACCCGTTCCTCTTCATGTTGCATATATATATATATATATAAAGACATTTTTATGTTTAACGTTCTTTTTTTATAGATACAAGTATTTAAGTAAATGCTCTGTTTATAATAAACAGTATTAAATAACATTTACCGGCCTGAATGTCCGAGAAATCTTCATAGAAAATATTCGTCCTTTGACAGGATTCGAACCTGCATCCTATACGGAATCGTCATTTACACTGACGTGCCTTACCGCCTCGGCCACAAAGGAGCGTTCGGTAGGCAAGGTCGATTTTACTGCTTATAAAAATGTCTTTAATAAATAAATTGTCGGACTTTGTCCATTTCTTAATATATGACGTCTTTTTGTTTACATTTGATACGCCAGAGCAGTTATGAATGTACGAGATTCATGGAAGATTGAAGTTTATAACAGTAAATTCGTCCTTGCTTACCGAACGCTCCTTTGTGGCCGATCGGATAAGGCACGTCAGCGTAAATGACGGTATATATATGGGATATATAGTTCTAATCCTGTCAAAGGACGAATATTTTCTATGAAATTTCTCGGACATTCAGGCCAGTAAATGTTATTTAATACTGTTTATTATAAACAGAGCATTTACTTAAATACTTGTATCTATAAAAAAGAACGTTAAACATAAAAATGTCTTTAATAAATAAATTGTCGGACTTTGTCCATTTCTTAATATATATATACTATTATAACAATATATATTTACATAAAACAGTATTGAGGAAATTTAATAAATAAATATTTATGACGTGTTTCATCTGTTAGAATTTCATCGGTCTGGGTTTGTTGACGTTGTCACTACAGATGTGCATGAACGAGAGATAAACTTCTTCCATTTTGTGTCTATATATATATATATATATATATATATATATATATGCGCGCGCGCTTTTATTTATCTTTCTACTATTTTGATGTATCTCCCAACCCAGGCAACGAATTTTTAAAACTTATTTCGTTCAGAATTTGATCAATGAACATATTTTTTATCGCATTATCAATCTCAAAAGAGCCATTTACTTTATTTCTGTCTCGCTTTCCATTTTCTTTCCAATCTCCTCGACAGTTTCTCTTTTCCAGTCTGCCTCTTTTTCGGGTCCATCTTCCTTCCGCTATTTTTGCGTTGAGTAATGTCCTGTTTCATTAAATGACAAAAGTATTTATTCCCTACTCTTTTTTTCCATGGCTGGAAGGCTTCACTATATTTGATCACCCCCCTCCCTACACACACTCACTCTTCTCTTCGTCTCTGCTGTACACTAGTCTCAGACGTTTGTACTTCATGTCCCCAACCAGAGACTTTATCATTTTCTACAGTCCAGTAATCGCTGCTTCTATCAGACCATTGGTCTACTTCTGTTTCATATTTTCCGAATTCTTTTTTTTATTTTTATCTTCCAATTACAGATTTCTTTTTCTTTTAGAGATTTGTAATACACATATTCCCTCCCTGTAATCTGAGCATACTTCATTACTTATTCTGTTCCCTTTATGTCTTCTGACTGTTTGCATTTTGCATCCGTGTCCTGGGTATGACGATAAACTACATCCGCATCCTCTGTAAGACGATAAACTACGTCCGCGTCCTGGGCATGACGATAAACTACATCCGCGTCCTGGGTAAGACGATAAACTACATCCGCTTCCTGGATATGACGATAAACTACGTCCGCATCCTGGATATAACGATAAACTACATCCACGTCCTGGGTAAGACGATAAACTATGTCTGCGCCCTAGGTAATAAGATAAACTACGTTCAACAGCAAAGCCGCCTCTTAATTGCTGATGTTCCCAGGTCCACCCATATCTGGAAGGGCAGCATCTGTTAATGTCCCAGCTATGGGCAAATAGTTAACCCCCAAACTGGGAACAAAACACGATATAAGTGTAAAAACAGGTTTTAATACCAGCAATATATGTTTGAAAAAAATTATTGCCAGATATATATTTTTGAAAAAAAATATTACTAGCGATACATTACTAGAAATATATTTTTGAAGGAAAAAATATTACCAGCAATATATTTTTGAAAAAAAAAATATTACCAGCAATAAAAATTTTGTCAGGATTAAATAACCGATTAAGGTTGATATGCTGTAAGACAAACTAAACCAAACCAAACCATTCTGCATCAAGGATAGACTTGACCCGTTCGCACCAGTTGTTTATTTTAACGCCCCCAAAAAGGAACAGCTGTTTTTTAATCTCCTGAGATAATCCATTCTGTCCTCCGTTAGGAGATTGACTCTTCCCTGAATAACCTTTTCCGCTGATTAAAAGTAGAAAGATCATATTGCATGATTTTCAAATCCTGCTACTAGGAAAGTTGTTTCACTGTGTAGTGTCTGATATTTTTTCTCGCCAGAATCTAACATACATATTTCTAAATATTGTATAAGAGTAAGTGTCGTTGCCGACACTGTGATTTGAACCTAGATCAGCAGTAAGCAACACGAGCAATTCCAGTAGATCACGTGATCATAAAGGAAGTGAATAAATAGGAACTAGTGTGATGATTATACGATCACCTTTCATTCTTCTTTTCTATCCACCATTGCTATACGTTCATTCTATATAATCTACTACTATACGGATTACGATTCTCTTCTGATTAGTAATTTGGCAATTACTACTTGAACAAGTATTACTAGCGCGGATATTACTGAAAGGCGTCTACGAAGTTTCGAATATAACGAGCAGTTTTTGGAGTAATAACGACCTTACGCTTGACATAGCAAAAGTGACAAGGAAGCCGTCTAACATCACAAAATTGGCGACTTTGATTCGTAAAGAATCATAAAACTAAGTCTATCATTAATCCTTGCTTTGAATTCTGCTGCCACATCTTGTCTGGTGATACTACGATATATTGAGTGATTCTTAATGAAATCCAAAGAAATTGCCGTTATATTGGTACTGACTTGTCCTCTTGGCCTCAGTCACTTTTCCACCGCAGTAACATAGCTTTCCTGTGTCTTTTCTATAAATACTGCCATGGTAATTGTTCAAAGGAACTTTTATTTATGGTATTTAGACTTTATGAAAGGCACCGCAGTAACATAGACTTCCTGTGTCTTTTCTATAAATACTGCCTTGGTAATTGTTCAAAGGAACTTTTATCTATGGTATCTAGACTTTATGAAAGGCACCGCAGTAACATAGACTTCCTGTGTCTTTTCTATAAAATACTGCCTTGGTAATTGTTCAAAGGAACTTTTTTTATCTATGGTATCTAGACTTTATGAAAGGCACCGCAGTAACATAGCCTTCCTGTTTCTTTTCTATAAATACTGCCATGCTAATTGTTCAAAGGAACTTTTATCTATGGTATCTAGACTTTATGAAAGGCACCGCAGTAACATAGTCTTCCTGTGTCTTTTCGATAAATACTGCCATGATAATTGTTCAAAGGAACTTTTATCTATGGTATCTAGACTTTATGAAAGGCACCGCAGTAACAGAGTTTTCCTGTGTCTTTTCGATAAATACTGCCATGATAATTGTTCAAAGGAACTTTTATCTATGGTATCTAGACTTTATGAAAGGCACCGCAGTAACATAGTCTTCCTGTGTCTTTTCGATAAATACTGCCATGATAATTGTTCAAAGGAACTTTTATCTATGGTATCTAGACTTTATGAAAGGCACCGCAGTAACATAGCCTTCCTGTGTCTTTTCTATAAATACTGCCATGGTAATTGTTCAAAGGAACTTTTATGTATGGTATCTAGACTTTATGAAAGGCACCGCAGTAACATAGCCTTCCTGTGTCTTTTCTATAAATACTGCCTTCGTAATTGTTCAAAGGAACTTTTATCTATGGTATCTAGACTTTATGAATTTAAACCTAGTACTAAATTAGTTTCGGTATCCCCAGTTTGTAATTTAAATGTTAAGCTGTTCCCTTTGCTCACAACCATGCATTCTACGTTCTAGCTTTCGTTTCCTAGCTTCTGAAGCCGTTCTTGTAGTTTTCTTTCTGCTGCTTCTATCAAAATTTTTTTATCTACATATTATACGTCGTTAAGATGGTCAGCAATAATGTATCCTCCGAGGACTTCTAATTCTCTCAGAATCACCTCATGGTATATTTTAAATAAGTCCGATGAGAAGACACAATCCTTTCTATTTTTGGATATTTATTGATTTCATTTTTTATCGGTATGCAGGAGGGTCGTTCTCAATAAAAAGTTCTTGAATATTCTAATATTCTTGCCAAATATGTTAAAGTAATTTAAGAGTTAACTGTGACATAATTTATCAAACATTTTGTATAAAATCTATAAAATATAAAATCTATAATATATTTTGTATAAAATCTATAAAATATAAAATCTATAATATATTTTGTATAAAATCTATAAAATATAAAATCTATAATATATTTTGTATAAAATCTATAAAAGATTGGTATACATTTCATTGGCATTTATACCAAAGTATTCCAAGATGGAGAGTCTATAAATCATCATGATTCGTCACCCACTTCGATGGGCTGAACAAATTGCCCGATTACCAGGAAAAATTCACTTCTCTGAGCTTGCATCTGGCAAGAGACCACAGGAGTCCCACTTCGTTGATTAAAGAATCAAGTAAAAAAAAAAAAAACAGCTTGCTGAGGACAGAAATCGATCCGGTCATTTGGAAGATATAAGCTCTAGAATGACCCAATTGGATCAGAGAGCCGTCCACGAAAAAACCAACAGCATTTGAAAAGACCAGAACTCAAATAGAAGAGAGGAAGAGAACTCAAAGAAAAGTCAGAACTCTCGATTCCATGAACCTTCCTAACCTACCATTCGGTTGTTGTGAACGTCTCTTCTGATCCAACATAGGACTCATTTCACACAGAATGAAATGTCAATGAGCACTCAATACAGAAACGAGTTCCTTAACGACGATATGCGTTTCGGGCGTAATATTGGAGATGCTGTCCGGAACATTATTAATTTCTTTCAAGTTTTTCAATTCTGTTCTGAATCATATTCAGAGGAAGGAACCAGTGGTAGGAGAACGCATTCATTATCATATCCAGTTGGATTCTGCAAATCAATTTGACAATGACTATAATGACAAGCTGATCACAAAAGCACGCTAAATCTTTAGAAGTCGCAAAAAGAGTGTCTCAAGACTTGTGATCTGTTCTCATTTCGACATTTCTTAACGTGTTTTAGAACTGGGTATTCTACCAAAAACATCCAAAAATTGTAAGATTTCATGAATATATATATATATATATATATATATATATATAAGTTTTTTGTTGTACAAAATTTAAGCTGATCACAAGGTAAGCGCGCTAAATCTTTAGAAGTCGTGAGAATGCCATAACAGCTAGAAATTCAAAGAAACCAATTGGGACGCGTAGGATACCGAAAACCAAATGATTAAAAGACCGATAATAGGTGTTCGGCAGCCGCTTGCATCCGAGCATCTGGGGTCATCATCCTCTCTTTCTATTCCCTTCCTCTCTGTGTCCTGATGGCGGTGGAGGAGATGGCTGTGAATCAAAGATTTGATTTTGGTGGACAACACTGTGAGACAGAGAAGCCCAGACACTTGACTAGAAGCGCCTTCCTCGCGGCTCGAAGCAGATTGAGACAGGCGAGATTTGGTTGCATCAGGCTGTCGGTTAGTAAGTCTGTCAAGGCCCGCCTGGTTACGACAACCCGACTGGCGCTGCCCTCTTCTGCTGGGTTGATAGTTGGGATCGTGTAGATCTTCGCCTATTCCGCCGTTGGGATATTCGAGGGTTGGTTCTGTTCAATCTTGTCCTAAATTAAATATTTTCCAACACATTGTTATCAGGAAAAAAACAAAAAGAAAAGAAAAAAAAGCAAAGCTTGATAGTTAATGAGTTTCGCCTACGTCTGTCATAATGGCTGTCGCTCAAGTGCATCCATTGAATATCGAATTAACGTGTGTTGTCTTGTGACAGCTACTTTATGCTAGCCGCATAATATCGCTTCTACATTTCTATAAGTCTTCTTCAAAGCTATAAATCAAGGACACATGTTCATGTTATACGGTCTGGCGGTAAAAGCTTAAAAGGAACAGGGAGCAGAAGATTTCAACACTAACAGAACGTGGGATATGTTTGATAAACATTAGACGTATTAATTAGCGGTAGAAGTTCTCTGGCTGTTGCCGTCAGCACCCGCTCGCATCCGAGCATCGGGATCATCATCCTCTCTCCCTATTCCTTTTCTCTCTCCATATTCCCTTTCTCTCTCCCTATTCTCCTCCTCCTCTCTCTCTATTCCCTTTCTCTCTCCCTATTCTCCTCCTCTCTCTCTCTATTCCCTTTCTCTCTCCCTATTCCCTTTCTCTCTCCTTATTCTCTTTCTCTCTACCTATTCTCCTTCTCTCTCTCTATTCCCTTTCTCTCTCCCTATTCTCCTTATTTCTCTCTATTCCCTTTCTCTCTCCCTATTCTCCTTATTTCTCTCTATTCCCTTTCTCTCTTCCTATTCCCTTTCTCTCTCTCTATTCCCTTTCTCTGTCCCTATTCCCCTTCTCTCTCTCTATTCCCTTTCTCTGTCCCTATTCCCCTTCTCTCTCCCTATTCGCCTTCTCTCTCCCTATTCCCTTTCTCTCTCCTGGTGGCGGTGGAGGAGTTGGCTGTGAATCAAAGAGAGTTTGACGAGGCCATTCGTCTGAATTTGATTTTGGTGGACAACACTGTGAGACAGAGAAGCCCACACACTTGACTAGAAGCGCCTCCCCCGCGGCTCGAAGCGGATTGAGACAGACGAGAATTTCGTTGCACCGGGCTGTCGGTTGCTAAGTCTGTCAAGGCCCACCATGGTTACGACAACCCGACTGGCGCTGTCCTCTTCTGCTGGTTTGGTCCTTGAGATCGTGTAGATCTTCGTCTATTCCGCCGTTGGGATATTCGAGGGTTGATTCCGTTCAGTCTCGTCCTTCCTCTTCGATCTTACAGCCATGGGTAGCCCTACAGGACTTGGAACTCCAGACGGCTTCGATAATGTCTCTCCTACCTTTCACTAAATCTTCTTGAAAGCTATAAATCGAGGACACATGTTCATGTTATACGGTTGGCGGTAAAAGTTTAAAAT